GACAAAGCAACGACATGTCTCTTTGTTAACTTTGTACAGAGTAGCTTCTTTTTTATTTTAGTATTTATTTATTCATTTTTTATTTTAGTATATATAACGAATATGTCAATTTAATTCGTACAAATTCGTGTATAATAAAAAACTAATTATATATCGATTAAAAAATCTGGTGATAGAAAATAAATAATTTTTTTAGTTCGTAAAATATCTGATGTTTTCCCGGTATATAAGTGAATTTGTGTGTATATCGGACGAATCCAGTTTAATTTAGTTTATACAGCAGCTTAAAGCTCTATTGGCTTTAATCTAGCTGTACTTGCAAACTATAATTGAATAGCTTGTCCGTGACAAGCTTATGTAACAAGCTTTACAGATTTTATAAAAGTTTATATAACAAGATTTATATATATTATTCTGTCGCAAAATATTGCGTATCGTCAACATGCGTTTGATCTAACAAATTTTTTCCCATTCTTTTGCATTGATAGCATAGATCGATAGATTCATTAGAGGACAAAAAAAAAAAAAATTCCAATGCTTGTGTAGAAAAAATTCTATTGACATGTCATATCTCGCGGGCGGAGATTTTGTGCGAAATGTAAAAAATTTCGTTGGAATTCCAATCGCGCGAAATGTATAGTATTTATTCAAATCCTCGCGTGTGTGTAACTCGCGTTACGTAATATCAAAGGCGCATTTCGCACGCGATTATACGAATAATTGCTCGGGCCTTGAGCTCGCCCCGATCTTTCGTTAAATACGGGCAGTTACGCGCGACGTAATTTAGCGAAACTTGATTTCCGCCGCGCCGCTCGCTCCCCGCATCGCGGCTGCAATTATCGCTGCAAAAATAAATTGCATCTGTATCGATATTTTCGTCCTCTTCGCGCGCGACATTAAGAGCTGCGACGTTTAATTATCGGCTTTGTCGCGTCGGCACCGACGAGTCAACTCGAAAGAGCGACGAATTCCCGATATTGTTGCTGTCGTTTGTTACGCGAAATTGTATTGTCGCGCGATTGCAAATATAACGAAATCTGCGACATTGTCTTTACGATACGCTGCTATTGCACGCGATCATCATCGCGTGACTCGTGACGAGATCATTTAAGTTTCGCGCATATTCGCGCGGATCTGAATCATCCGGCACTAACGTAATAACGTTGCACGACGCATATTATTAAAAACACAAAGTGAATAGCAATCTCTATTGAATAAGCGGCGAGTCGGTGAGAAAACGGATGATACGATAAAAATGTAGACATGAATGGAGAAATTAATTGAGTAAGCGAGAGTGACCTTTCGCAGGCGTCACGATTTGTATATAGAGATATGCGGCGCTGATACGTTCATTATTAGACAGCTCGCATTCCTCCCGCGACTCGTTTCGTCAGTATACTTTCACTCGTATATCTCGCGGGCCGCGAATTTTTCGGCGCAATTATTGTAAATTGGTAGCGTCGACGTAAATGCGCCTCGTGGAAAGCGACACTTTCTCGGATGCACGATTTTAAATTCCCGCATTATTTCGTATAAAGGAAGGAAAAAAGAGAACGAAAGCTTTTAACATTAAAGCGTGTGCTGCACACACGCTCATTTCGTGTGGAAAAAAAACATCTTTTTTTGAGATATTGAGAAAAAGTCGTAAGACAGATCTCAAATTTTTAGTTCGCGAAACTTGAAAAATCCAAGAAAACTTTTTAATCAAATCTTTTTCCCAAGAAAATTCTTTCTTTTTAATAAAAGTTTGAATAGACGACAAAAGTGCATCACATTTGACAATTTTTTTTTTTTATTACAAAGGGTATATTATTATTTTCACATTGTCTCTGATAGATATAGAATATCGCGATAGCTTTTGTGACTTAATTTAGCTTTCATTTAACTCACACATGAATAAAAGCCCGAACAAGGGTATATTATTATTTTCACATTATCTCTGATAGATATAGAATATCGCGATAGCTTTTGTGACTTAATTTAGCTTTCATTTAACTCACATGAATAAAAGCCCGAACGCACAGCACGTCAGATAATTATCGTTATCATTAATTTATTTTATATAGCCGATCATCGTCAGTATAAATGCCGTAATATTTTCATCCCTTTGATTACGGCGCTCAATATTTCGCTAAAATATTTCGTGCGCACGAACGTACGACACAGCAATTCGCGTTATTGTCATTCTCGCAAATAGAACCAGGTAGAATTTTTTTTCCCCTCAGCTGGTCTTATCGACCCCTTGGGACCGACGGTAGGAATGCACTTAGTCTGAATTGAAGGAATTCACGAGTTTTGTGAAAAGTTTTTCTTCGAAACCATAGTTCGATACTCCCCGATTTGACCTCGCCGTGTCTGTTTTCTTGAAAATGCATCCCCACACCGGCTACTTCGACAGTCTTCCCTTTAAAAGTGACTCGTCTTGAAGGCTTTCCCCGACAGGTCTACAATATATGCGGTTTCGTAAACGGCTGACCTGCTCACGTTTCCCGTTTCATGAACTCCACGTGGAACGAATGCAGGCGGCGCGATCCTCACTCACGCGCATTAACGATCGATTATTTACTATTGGGAAGTACAATCCGCGGCGGTTTCTTACACGGTAAGGAAGAGAGAAAGAGAAGAAAAAATACGACCTTTTTTTTCCAGCGAAATCCGGCCGGACGTCGCAGAAATTAGGTCTCGCGTTCTCTGCCTTTTCATCGAGATATTTAATTCCCGCTGTAAATACATTAAGAAACGTGACAGGCGGAAGATACAAAAACAAGATCGCTTCCTTAGTTCAGCCATCAAGATTGAATTTTCTTTTCCTGTGGACTTTGAAGCTTATAAAATTGTTGGCAAAAAATACGAGGAAAAATACGCGATTGAAATTTAATTTTTATATGCAAGAAACACGCTTTTTTTGTTACTAATCTAATAAAAAATATATTTTGGATTAATATAATCATTTATTGCAATGTTTAATTTATTTGTACACCTCATTAACAAAAGAAATGTGTGAAGCTATAAAATAGGTAGAGAAATTCGTTAAATAGAGAAAAGTTCGGTACATTTCTTATTTAGGTGATCGCAAGAATTCTGAAGATCTCGTTAAACGTGTTCTGAAGGAATGCGACCGAAAACGCCGTGGCGTCATTTACACCCAAATGTTGTACACGTATATTGAATCGCGGTACCCTCGTATTTCTACTATCGCCTTTGTTCGCGATCTCCATTGTCTCCTTCTTTATCGTCCGTCCCGTGAACCTTGCACGCGTATTTGCGTATGGACCAACGAGTGTAATGGCGTTCCTGTGTTGAATGCTTTAGAGGCCCGGTGTAAACAGACCTGCGAAAAGGTCTATTGGTCTCCTGTACGGGCGTGTGTATATACATGTATGCGGACGGTCTTTGTCGCGTAAATCTAATTTATCCTCCGGACTCATATTGTATTATGAAACAGAAGCGTGCATGCGTGGGAGTGGAAATTATGAATATTGATAATATCGTCAAATTGGAAAACCGCAGATTTTTCGATGATTTCGTGGAATCTTTGATGGACCATCATGTTTTTTTCGCAACACTTCAATATTCAAATTATTGTGAACCAATGCAGAATATTGGACGCATGGATGTTTACTTAAAATAACAGAGAAGATAAGCTATATATATGTACATTAATTTTTTTATCACATATATATTCTCATATATAGCGCTCTCCACTATTTGACTCATCTATTTATATCGGAAAAAATATGTGCACTGACATTTCGTTCGGTTTACGTCAACGAGGATTGCGAGTCCTTAAATCAAAAGAGATGTTAAATTCCTACTTTTTATTATTATGTTGATTTAAAACAAATACATTGTTAATTGGTAAAAGTTTTTATGGAGCAATCTAAATTTAGAATTTTGACAAATTACGTTTTAACAGTTGCTTGTAAATTTGACAATTTTATCATTCTCTTGATCGACTGATAATACAATGCAAACAGTTTGACAAAATTTAAACACGCTTTATTACACCATTCAAATTCGCGTATGATGAATTTTCATGAACCAAGTATTGTATAGCATTACTGTTTTACGAGACTATTTTGTACTATTGATTGGCATTTGCATTCAGATATGACAATTTGCGAATGCTACATATAACGCGGTCACATGTTTATATCACGGCCGAATTTTATTCAATTTGTCAATTATGAAAATAGATCTGTTTTGATCAGTGAAAAAAATTACAATATTTACTACGCGATCGTGAGATATTTATTGCGGGATTTTTATGCGATGTGTAAGATATTTTTGTCAGGGTAACTTATAACGGAAAAGAACTGTCGCGATCCTTCTCGGGCATGATAAAGCGACGACTGACAGCAAGTAATACATATATTTTAGGTTTATCGTATCGAAAGTTTCTTTCCGGTTCGCATATTTTAGTGACTTTTCGCGTACGATCGAACGACCGGGAGGAGATTCGTTTGAAACATCATATAACATGCACTATCGAGAGTCATGTAATATATAGAACGGCTGAATTTATTTCCATGTGAACGACATTCGCGTTCTATGAAAATCTAAAAATATGACAGGTGGGAATATTCCAAGTATCGCCGCGAAATAGGTAGAGCAAATATTTATCGCATATGTATATATTTTCTACTTACAATGCTTTGTAAATTTTTGGCTTGTTGGCTTCTGAAACAATGTTGAAATTAATCACATGTAATTCGATTGAATTACTCATTTATTTCTCGCTGAAAAAGGAGATAATTATAATAGAATTAAACATTATTATTTTCATCATGTTATTTTTTGATAAAAAAGGAGGTAATTAGTTGAACATTTAAATCGAGTCTTTGCCAATTTTATTATTGTATATTATTTGTCTTTTTATTGGTTATCGATCGCTAATTATTTAGTTGTGTAGGTTTGAATTTTATACACATTAGATTATCGAGAAATTTGTGGAATACAGAGTTAATAACAATATTAAAGAGTCCCTTCTCTTATTTCAGGTCCCGAAGGCGTGGTAGTGGCGTGACGGACATACACTCTCAACAACAGCAACAGCTGCAAGAGAACAACAACAGCAGCTCGCGCGACGCGAAGAAGCCGCAGGAGGGACTGGGGCCCGATGAGATGTGGGCCCCTGGCGCCCTGGGCCATCATCGGGAGCTACCTGTTGATGTGCCCGACACCCTCTTACAGAAGGCCTATCCCAACAAGGTAAAGAACCGC